CCTCATAACAAAGGAGTTCGACACCCCTGGTGTAGAGACTGGCTTCCATAGCTCCCAAGACAGGGGGGATGACCAGTAGGCATAGTAAAGATACCATCTCAAAGCAGTTCCCCAGACTCTATAAGCCCTGTTTACCATTCACAAGAGGGTCAGGATGCAATACATGAAACTTGGTGGTGGAAATGGCTGCCAAGTTGCAGACAGATTTACGGTGGCCCCCGGAGGCTTTCCAAGGCAAGAGACGTTCCGAGGCAGTTTGCTGTTGCCGGCCCTCCGTGTAGCGATCCTGTGCTTCCTTGGTGGTCTCCCGGCCGAATCCTAACCGAGACCAGCCCGACTTAGCCGACAACATCTGAAAAGCTCAGGCTAGGCTGGGCCATCCAGGTCAGGGCAAAACGCAGACTGAGGCAACACGATTCAGAGGGGTGATGGGTTCTTTTCTTGCTTCTCCTTCTGCAAGCGGCTCTTCGATTTCCCCACTGCTGGGCTGGCTCTGTCCGTGGTGCTCTTGGGGCTGCTGCAGATCTCCAGGGGCTGGAGCCCTGCTTTTAGGCCCCTCCCCCAGGCCCGTAGCTACCGCAGGGCCCATGGGGCCTGGAACCTCCACGGTTTTTACGGCCCCTCCCCCGATCCTTGGCTCCGCCTCCCTCTCCCCGGCCCCCTCACCCCCGATCGATCGCCTGCCTGTCAGTGTCGGTCCAGGCCCAGCCCCTGTTCCCCTCCAAACCACTTGTGCTTTGCCTCTCCCCAATAATAGTGCACCAATTTTCAAATTGTAGCGCATTGATTTTTCACCCCCAGCGCAGGGCCCCAAAGAATCCCTCCTGCCAAGGATGCTGGGCTGCTATGGCTTCTGCCTGGGTTCCAAGAGGACTGCTCTCTTTCTCTCTTGCCCTCTTCCTTTCCTCTCCCACCACCCTCGTGCTTGCCCATCAGCTTTCCTGGAGCAGGAGGGCAGGTAGAAGGGTGGAAGGAGAGGTGGGCCAGATGAAGCAGGAAAAAATGTGCAGGTCCTCTGGAAAAAGGCTTTTCCACGTGACAAGGCTGGGGGGGGGGGGAAAAGCATCTACAGCTCTCCTTGTGCTGGGGTCTCCTATGGGGTATTTAGAAATAGACTGAGAGAGCTCTTGACAGAAACTCCTCCATTTCAAGAACACTGCTGACAGAACAATGGCTTGCCCAAGGTCATCCAGCAGGTGCAAGTGGAGGAGTTGGGAATCAAACCCGGTTCTCCCAGATTAGAGTCCGCGCACTTAACCACTACACCAGACCAGCTCTCAAACATAGCTGTTTGAAACGTCTTCAAACATAGCCATTTGAATACAGAGCCAGGTATGCTGGGTGCCCTCTGTCTATGCCTCGTCTTGGCATCAGGGAGGGAGGGAGAGGGGGGGAGAATCTCAGTGTGAGCATTTTTTATTTGTTGTGACGTCAGTGCACTTTTCGTGATTGTCAGTGCACATTTGTGGAGCTTTTGGGGGCTCCCAATTTCCCCAGCCCCCCCCCAACAAAAATTTCCTAGCTACAGTCCCGCCCTCACCAGTTAACACTCGGTTGACTTCTGGCCTCCATCTCCCTTTCTCTCCAGAAACCTGCCTTTTCACAAACCTCCTAGGACTCCCTTACAAATACAGAATATCTTTCACTCCTTCCCAACTCCAACAGAAGGCCAAACCCATAGGGTTACATGTTTATGTAATTGGGGATTACTTCTGCCTCATACTGACTCATACCCTTGGTCTATCAAGGTCAATATTCTCTATTCTGACTGGAAGCGCCTCTCTAGAAGCCCAAAGTGGAGGTCTTCTACCTGGGCCTTTCAACTGGAAATGCCGGGGTTTGAACCTATGGCCTTCCACATGCCAAGCAGATGCTCTACCTCTGGGCCACAGGCCCTCCCAGCAGCCAGTTTTCACATCCCAGAGTATCTGGTGGTCCAGCTAAATTTCCCATTCCAACCAATACCGAACATGGAAGAAATGTTGTGTTTCCTTTTTTTTTAATGAATGGTGGGTTTTGTGGGGCGGGGAGAGTACCATGTGAAAAACCACCTGGATGCCATTTCAGATCACTTACGCACCCGCCGTTTTGTGTGTCACAAGCAGATTAGAAACACACAGTAAAGGCAAAGTATCTGACATTTGGAGAGAGAGGGAAAAGTGTGTTTGGGCTGATGGTTATCCTTTAGAGGACGGCGTTTGTAGAGCAGGCCGGCAAACTAAATCAATATGTTTTCAGAGGATTATTGGGCAGGGAGCAGTTATACATTTAAGCGTGCCTTTATCGCTGATCGCCAATTTCCAAGGATGCGGCGAGGTCAGGGCCACGGCCAGGCTGGGCGACAGAGGCACCCCCGCAGCCGTGTGGACTGGCAGAGAAAGAACTGGCGGGGTTGGCATTTGGGGACCAGTTCCGAGGAGAACCGACCATGCCCCGTATAGGGCTGGGAAACAGAGACCCAGCCGGGTCTGCCTGCTTACTTCAGGTTCACCCGCCCTGCGTTTTGTGCAATGATTTCTGCCCAAGCGCTTGAAAGGGATCTCATTCCCTCCAGGGTACAGCAGGTTAGGGACCCAGGGCTATTTTTGGGCAGGAACGCATAGAAACGGAGTTCCGGCTGGCTCCTGAGTTGGCCACGCCCAGCAGGAACTCATTAGCATAACAGGCCACACCCAACAGCAGGAACTCATTAGGATTGGCTACATTAGGGGTGTGTGGCCTAACATGCAAAGGAGTTCCTGCTACAAAAAAGACCTGGGTTTTGACAACAAACAAGGTAAACAGAATAAGAAGGGAAAGGTGGGATGACCACACTTCTGGTAACATGGGGGTGCGGCCTAATGTGCCAATGAGCTGTGCGGTCAGGGGTGTGGCCTAATATGCTAATGAGTTGCTGTTGTTGGGTGTGGCCTATTATGCTAATGAGTTCCTGCTGGGCTTTTTCTACAAAAAGAGCCCTGTAGGGACCTGATTAGGGCCAAGAAATTCCTGGAGATTTGGGGATGAAGCCTTGGGAGGCTGGGGTTTGGAGCGGGAAGGGACCTCAGCAGAGTATAGTGCCACAGTGCCCATCCTCCAAAGTGGCCATTTTTCTCCAGGGGAGTGGTAGTACTGAGAACAGTTGTCATTCCAGAAGATCACCAGGCCTCCCCCGCAGGCTGGCAACTCTACCTAGGGCCCATTTTCTGCTTAAGGCTGCCAGCCTCGGCTCATTCACCTGGAATGCGGGAAGCCCTATGGAATAAAGTGAAGGACCACACATTGGATCCTGTGGGAAGCCAGGGCTGAAAGAAAAGATGTGGCAGGATTGGGAGGGGGGGGGAAGAACTGAGGGTCCTTTGGAGCAAGGGTCAGGGTTGCCAGGTCCCGGGTTGGGTTGCCAGAAGTAGGTTGTGAAACTCCTGGAGATTTGGGGGTGGAGCCTGAAGAGGGCAAGGACCTCAGTGGGGTGCAATGCCCTAGAGTCCCCCCCCCCTCCAAAGCCCCCATTCCCTCCCGGGGAAGCTGATCCCTGCAGTCTGGAGAGGAGCTGTAATTCCGGGGGATCCCCAGGTCCCACCTGGAGGCTGGCTCCCCCAGGCAGGCAGGGCGATTTTCTAAACAGGCGCGCATCTGTGTGTGGCGGCAGCAGCGGAGCGAATTCGACGCAGCCCCCCCTAATCCGAAACCGAGCCTCGAGTGCCCGTCTCCTCCTTTCCCGGAGCTCAGCCGGCGGCGCTCACCTTCCCAGGGCTCACGAGAGGGCTGATCTCCCTCTCTCTCCCCCACCGCTTTCCCCCGCTCTCCCCCGTCTGCAGCCGCAGTCAGTCCCTTTCGCTGCATGCGGTCGCGGGGACCCATTCTAATCGGCTGTCGGGCGGAGGGAGAGCGCAGCAGAAAGTTTTTTCCTTGGGGGGGAGGTGATCGGCAAAGGCGGCGGCGGGGGGGCTGGGCGCGGGGGGAGGGAGGGGAAGACGCGCCTGCTCTGTCGCGGTCCCGCGATCGAGTTGCGCCCCCCCCCCCACCAGTGTTCCCTCTAAGCTGAGTTAGTGTGAGCTAGCTCACAGTTTTTTGGCCCCCGGTTCACACATTTTTGTCTTAGCTCAGGGAGGATGGCTCCAGAGCAAACTGATTTATGCAGTAGCTTGCTCACATCTTTAATGCCAGGAGCTCACAACGTAGAATTCTTGCTCACAAGATTCCACAGCTTAGAGGGGGCCTTTTCGTTTTGGGTCGGCGCGCGGATTGGGGAGCCGCGGCCGGCTGCTCCAGTGCGCAGGCGCAGCAGGCCACCCCCCCCTCCGCTCCCGCCCGCTGGGGGGGGGGGGGGGATGCTTTTGGACGTAGGAGGGGGATCGCCCCGTCTTTCCCTCCTGCCTCCTCCC